CTGTAACATTCTGAAATAGCATTACTGAATGTCTGCATACCTTTTACAACTGGAAATAAAATCCTGAAAACATATTCTAAATGCAACTGGTATGGTGGTGCCCCTCTGCATTTGCAGATACCTTGAGACAAAAACTCTGAAAGAAGTGAAAATCCATGGCTTCCAGCCTTGGTACTTTGAAGATTCATCAAGATTCATCACACACACACCCTGACCACCACAACAGTGCAGTGAACTTAACCTGCATGGACAATTTAGAGCCAGGGAAGTACATTCTGGGTCTCTCTGCTGCTCATGAAGTCCATTCAGAGAGCACAAGACTTCAGGACAATGCGGCAACACTGCCTCTTTTAGGGAGCGCTGCAGCAGCGAAGAATAAGACAGACTTATGAGAGCTGAATCATTGCGAAGACCTATATTCTGTAACGTCCCCAATGCCCTGAATTGCTTTAGTAATCACTTTAGCCTCAACTGCTTTTAGTGAATACTTTACCCTTCTGTGCCAGCTCTTCTTACGCAGATATATAATTTTAGATGAATTTCTTGATTAGAAGCTCATAGTTATCCAAGTCCTTTGCTCATCAGTAGTGTGACATTCACCATCTGCCAACACACCACTCTGGGAGATTAAGTAGAATAGATTTTAAACGGTATGTTATTGACATTTCAATTATTTAAGCTTTGGTAGAAAGTGACCAGACGAGGTTTAGCTTATATGATCCTTCTCAAAAAAGTTCTGCCGGAAGGGAGCAAATGAAAAGAAGGGGCAAGGGGTGGCGCAGGTGACCATAGATCACAGCTGAAGAGAAGAGGTAGGCAAGTTGGATAGATTCACTAGGGAGATAGATCCAAGAGTGCTTTATAAAACAGTCAAAGTGATACGAATGCCTTTTCTAAATACCTCAGAAAGACAAAATACGTCAAGGAGGAAGCACGAAGCGAAAGGGCATTAGCAGCAAGCATGAAATGAAAGGGCACGACCAGCCCTAAAACTGTTGGTATAAATCAGCCACCAGCAAAATTAGGAAGCTAGTCAGAAGTTTTCTAATCATGAGAGGACCAAGGGTCTGGAAGACTTCCAGCGGAGGCAAAAAAGAAACCCAGCTATTTATGAATGGGATTATAGCCCATACTTGCAATGGGCAGGGCTCAGTGACATAGGAAATCTCTCCCAGCCCTGTTTTCCAAAGGAACACAGCACTCCATGAAAACTCAGCATCATATTCCCAGTAGAGAAGTGTAAGATATAAAATATAAAAGTGATATAAAAACCAAAGATTGCTACTAGTAGAAATTAACGAAGGATATCTCAATTACACAATGTTCTGTGTGCCAGCACCTGCATCCTGGACAGATTTGTGAGACAGCAGGCTCTGACCCCAAAATGTCAAAAGCACTGGGTGCCTCTTGTTACATGAACCTCTCCCTTAGCAGTTAGTTTAGACCCTCACTGTAAATGTTCTTTGCTGCAGAAGGTCAGCACAGCTGGCCAGCAACATTTACCACTTCTACTGCATCTTACTACTTACTTACATTTCTGCAATAGGCAGGCAGGATGAGGCAAAAGCTCTAAACAGGAACAAAAGAGATGATGTGTTTGCTAGGGTAATCTTTCACTTTTTAAATAAGTGCAGATGCGCTGAACCTCTTGATAATGACTGCAGAGTGGGGAAGAAGCAGTCATGTATTCAGTTTTTGTATTAATAATTATAATAATTAAAACTGTCACTGACGAGCACTGAAAACATGAAGGCCAAAATATTCAGCCACGGATGTCTTAATCCAGGCATCTACATTCAAACGCAGCCAGTTGAGCAGAGACTCTTTTATAGCCCAGCATCTCTGGCTCCAAAGGCTGGCCTACTCGAGGACTCGGATAATCATCTCATTTATGAACAACTGCACAATTGCTTGTCTTTTCAGGAAGATACTTCAGCAAGTGCCTAAGTGCTGATGTAAACAGGAACATTTTTTATGAAATTAAAGCTAGGTGCCCAATTTAAGCATACAATTTAAAATAATTCAGCATAAATTACGCATTTCTGTACAGATACTCTCACATAAACAACAAATCAGACCTTTTTTTTAACACCATAAAGCCTCTAGACCAAGTGTGAAGATGAGGATATTCTCTTCGATTTTTAGAGAATATCTGATGCACGTTTATTGCCAGACTGGAAGAAATGCTCTGCCAAGAAAAAGTGAAAGATTCTCCAAATCTTATTCCTGGGGAAAAAGTTTGTCATGCTACCTGGAGCAATGAAAAGAAAACAGTAAATATAATGAAGCATTAACACCCATCAGGCAGCATGTTTATAGGCAATTGTCTGCTTCGCGTACCTTGAATTGTGTAATGAGACCAAGTGGGTTTTACTACCTATGAAGTAGAGTAATCATCCTCAAATGAGCTGCCTGGAAAGGAATATTGTTGTTATGAAATGGAATTTATATGGAAGAATAACAAAACAGCAAGGTTTGAGTATTGAGTAGGTCCTTACTGATGTGACTGGAAATAATGGGAACCACCCAGAGATTGCCCATCTGGTTTATCACGGCAGTGAGTGGGATCTAAGAAACCACTTTTTCACTCTATCACAGACCCCAAAATAATTTTTTTTTTTTTAATTACACCTTCCTTGATTCGCCACCCTCAGGGCACCACAAAGTTTCTATCTGCAAACTTGTCCCTGCCTCAAAATTAGTAAATTGCTCGTCATTGAGTCTTAGCTCCAACTGAATTCTCAGAAACCTTAAAACGGGGTTCATAAGACAGTGAACTGCCTGCCAACTGCAGGGGCTCGGTCTCAAAGGAGTGCAAAAAGCTCACCTAAAATCCCCAGCTGATGAGCCAGAAGCAGGCCACAGGCAGCAACTCAACACCAACCCCAAACCAGCAGCATTACAGGATAAGGAAAGAAGAGTGTGAAACAGGCAGCAGGCATGCATTTAAGACATGCTTTGGCTACTGGACTACACAACACTTTTACATCTTTTCCAGAGGGATTGTGATGCAGGGGTGAAAAAATGAAAGGGTCTGTGTGTAATAAGGCAGCGGAATGGATGCAGAAACCACTCCTCTTCCCACCATTTCTGTGCTGAGGCTTAGGCTGGTCACTGTTCAGCTGGTTGGCCCCCTTTCCATTTTATGGAGTGACGAATCTGGAGCTGTGACATAACCCCAACGACCCACGAGAAGCAGGATTTCCAGACGTACGTCCTTCAACACTAGCACCAGGCCCTTTCCTGTCAATCTCTGGAAGATCTCCTGGTTTGCACAGCTGGAAAAAGACGCTGCTAGGTTTAATCTGCTGTAACAGGGAGGCCAAGAACCAAGAAATGATTAACCAGTGTGACGGGCAATTATTTGAAAAAACTTCCCTTTGTAAGCACAAAGAAATTAAATTTTGTTTTGGACTGAAAACAGATGTCTGGTTCCACCTCCTCTTTGGTGGGTGCACCCCAGGGAGCACAACAAAGAAGGACCCCCCTGTATGGAGAGAACCAGGCTAGTGAATAAGTGGGCAAATTATGGTATTTTGGCCCATATGTGCCACTCTGCACAATCACGGGTTTTCTTTACAGGAACAGAAAACGAGGAATCCAAAGTTTTTTTGTGAGCTGGACCAGCTGTCATGTATAAAGATCTCACGCACGCCAGCCTAGTGCATTTGTTTTCCTAAACAAACTTGCAGTCATCTGTCTTTTTAAATATAACTTCCGTGACACACAGATGAAAATCAGAAAGTGATGCTGAAAGCTTTCCATGCTCTATTAATTTTATTATGTAAATCCACTCCCCAATTGATATTTTCATTCAAACTAGCACAAGATCTGTCATTATTCCTCAGTGTAAAGGGAAGCAAAACAAGCAGTATTCAAGCAAGTGCTCTCATTTGGATTATTATTTTAATGCAGCAGTATTGTCTGTAGGTAATTTCTAAAGCAGGTTTGTGTAGCAATTCTAGGCTGCTCCTTCCCAGAGGCTGTTTAGCATTGTCAACATTTATTACTTTTGCTTTTGTAAATATAATAGAAAGCAGAGATGTTTGACTTTAAACTAATAAGCAGATTTTGAGAAATGGACAACAAGATCGCTTTTCTGCTTTCTGAGTTATCTGTCTCCATGCCTAATGATACAGCAACAAAAGGAAAGCAAAACTCACAGAGACTGAAAACCCAGGGAAACGCGTGCAAAGCATCCTCAGTGTTTTAACATCTGTATTATGCCATCGGGGAGTAGTAAGTGGCTGGGTAAAAACTGCTTTTAAGGCAGTTAATGTAACACTCACCTAGTGCTATCAACAGACAGACGTATGGATTTCAATAACTGCTATATTCCTTAACTACCTGGAGGAGGCGTTCCACAATGGCATAAACTGCACTTGGTCTAAAGGCCAAAGACCTGGGTTTTGATTCCACTGTAAATATTGTAGCTCAGTTACTCAGACCTAAACAAACAGAAGCATTTAATTGGAATAGCCAGGAAATCAAAGCAGCAGAAACTCCTTTTCCCTACAGGAAGATATTAATCAAGTTTTCTCCAAAGCACTATCAAATTATGCTTTGTAGTACAGGTGCACACAGTATTTTCAGTAAGATTTTTGACTAAACACTCCAAATACACAGCAAGAAAGAATCCCCAAAGCAACAAACTTTGAAGCAAAGATGGCAGCAGAGAAATCAAAGCATCATAAAGATGACGTGATTCACCCTAGCCGGGAAGAAACCACACAGCAGTGTGGTGCATCATTTGTGACAACTTGGGGAATGAACGTTTAACATCTGAATTGCACGTGGCAGCTTAAAATTGTTAGATTTATTGAACCATGATATGCCATGATGTACGGATTGACTATTTCCTACTGGAATTTACTATTACCTAGCAGAGACCATATCATGTAATTGCTAGAGCATCAAGCCTCTGAGAGGAAAAATAAGCCTCAGCTGGGACCTCCACCCACACCTGTGAGACCAGGAACCCTATTTAAGCCCAGGCCTTGGCCCCAATTCCTTCCTCAGCTGTGTTACAGCAGCACTGAGTGCTGGTGCAGCTGCAGCCCTACCTGCCTGGTGGCTAGGGATGAGTGCTGATCCTCACCCATGGGCAGACCTCCTGGCTTGCCTTTAGACCTGTTTCATGGTACAGACTCTTGCTGTTTCCTGATGCAGCAGGTAAAAATGCCCTGAACTATTTATTAGTTATGTTTAAGTGGAAATGGCTACTGGAAACAGATGGGCTGTAACTAAGACAGGTGCTTTTGTTGACAGCCCCAGATGTGAGAAGAGTTTGGGAAATGGAGAACTTCAGCCCCAGAGCCCTTTGGACAAAATACATTCCCTTCAATCTTGGCATTACCGGTTAGGAGCCTTATAGGACAGACACTCAAAGTTGCTGAGTCAGATAGGTGTTAGAGGCAACACCTGAATTTTCTGTCCCTTATGTAAGAGGGAAAAATGTTGTTTTTCTATGGAATCTGGCAAAGCTAAAGAAAACAGATCAGAAGCAAAAAATAAAAATTAGGATTCAGGAGAAAAGTCATTGCTTAGAGGCAAAAGAATCTGGGCAGCCTGGAAAAATCTTGGAACTCAGCTCAGAAATGCTGTAGGTTGGCAAATCTGCAGGTTTTGGTTGTGCTTAAGACAGTTAATGTTGCAAAATTTATCTAGGGAATAGCGTCTTTATTTTGATAGTTCTCACGTTGGTCCTCATCCATTCTCATCAACTCCACTGCTTCCAGAGCCAGTTTTATTCCCAAGCCAAAGCATCTGTTCTGCCTTTCCTCATGCGGTCTGTCCGCAAACCCTCTGTTTGAGGCTTCAGTGCTGACTTGAAGCCTTAGCTCAAACCCACTGCTTCCCCTCTTCTTCCCAGGGGGTTTTGCATCTCTTATGCCCAGGCAGAGAGGTGACTGAAACCTGGTCACACCTCCAGACTAGAGATGGTCCCAGGAGCTCTGAACTCCTTTATCTTTGAGCTGAGAAACAGGAGGAATGGATGTCAGGGGCAGCTCTGTGTTTGTCCCCCTCTACCTCTAGAGGCCACTAGTCATTTTCTGACACTAAGAATTCCAGGTTGGGATGGAGGAAGAGATTTTGAAAAATTACCTGTACAGGAGTGCCTGTCATGGGGGAACTCAAAACTAATTTCTCATACTTCTCTTTTCAGTCAGTTTGGAGCAGGGCTGGGTTGCTTGTGGTTGCATTTTGCTTATCCTCAAATGCTATGGGCATGTTTTGGGTGTCTGGGTTTTATGGCTCAATTATTTTACTAAGGAACAACTACAGCAGCATCGATGTTTTTCCTTTGGTAAGGAAAAAGGCAAGTAAATTTTCCAATTATCAAGGCAATGCAGCACTTGGTGTATATCATTATGAAGCTGTTAACAAAAATGCTACATTTTCATTAGCTAAAAGGCTATTTATCCCTAATGAGTTCTTAAAGACTAAGGGCAAAATTCTGCTTTTGGTTACACCAGTGTAAATCTGTAACCCATCTGAGTGCCTCTGGATTTATATGGGTGTCAATGGAAGCAGAATTTGGCCTGAATGCTCTTGGATTTGACTTTGTAATCTGTTTCCACTTTAAGAAAGCCATTATTCACTAGTAAGGACCAATCAATAACAGTAATACTGGGGGGAGGGAGGAGAGGAGGAAAAATCACTTTTTTTTTTTTTATCCCATCATGGATACTTGAGAAAACAATACATCTATTGAAATATAAAATACAGCCTAAAACGTGTGAAGCAAATTTCAAGACTGCTTTGCAGCCTGGATGCTCATGAGCATCTGCATCTAAATGACAAACAGAAATTGAAGCAGGCCAGTTCCTGGAGCTTCCCTTTTAAAACACTGCTAACTAGCAAGCAATTGACCAACAGCAGGAAAGAGAGCCGGGGTTAATAAGAGCTTACTGAAGTGCAGCCTACTGCAGCAATGTGTCAAAGGTGAAAAACACCTTAGTATGATATTCAGTCTTACAATCAAATGTGAGAGAGTTAATTTATTCATTTATTCCTGCCTTTAAATGGGAGATGACTTAAATTTGATGAGTTTTCTATTGGTTTCAGAGGCAGATCTTAAAAGAAATCTACTGAACTGATTGTATATAATAGATGTACACAATATAGCATATTATAGGTGTATGAGGGCCCTACAGGCCATAACATGTCCATTAAGGTCAAATCTGCTATAACAGTGATGTTTATATGACTGATACCTTTAAATATATCAAGTGTCAAGATTTAAAGCCTTTAGAGCTGCAAAGCTAACACCTGTAAAAACCCCAATGGAAGGTAATATTAAAGAGCTGGAACAAAGATGAGCTGTGAGATTGGTCCCCTTGTAACATCTTAACGAAGCCTGACAATTAGATTTAATAAGTCAAAGTGCTAAAGAGGAAGCTGCAATGGCCAAGACCTTCAAAATCCAAAACAATTAACTTTTCCATGGTGTGAACAGTCACATTAACACTTGTTAGGAACTCGCTGCTGACTGTAGGGATTACTTAAATGGGAGACATTTCACCACCCAGGTTGCATTTTTGGACACAGGCAACTCTTGCAACGAGCAGTGCAGCCCTTCCTCTCCCAGCCTGACCTCCTCTGAATGAACCTAGTAGGTCTGTTCCTTCTCTCAAGCTTTGAAGGCAGAGATGAGTTCTGTTCCCTACTGTGCTTCCTCGTACAGCAGTAGTACGAAGTGTAACCAGGCAGTATTACAAGTTCTTGCTTGCCCCAGTTTTTCATAAACAAGAGGTTGTTGCTAATGCATATCCTTCCTATCTTCTGTGATTGATTCCTCTATTCCTTTCATCTACTTTCATCTCTGAAAGTATTTGCCATCAGTAAACAAATAATGTAAATATAATTAGATACAAAACAGAAGGCTGATGCCTTGTACTGGGTGAGTTATTACCCAGGAAAAATATTATAATCATGAATTAAACAATGTTTACTGTAAAAGTAGAAACATGCAGCTATATAAACATTTTGCAGGATTAGAAAAAGTATTTCTCTTTTCTTTACTTAGATGCATTCAACTCTATAATCCTACAATCTACTAAACCCTGGAGAGTAAATAAAAGTGGAGTCACTGAGGGCTGGCATTAAATCACATTGTATGACAGGCAGCTACGAGTGAAATATTAACTTACAATGAAACCTAGCATTTAGGAATCAGTGGGTCCAGTCTAAATATTTGTGTGGAACTGATGGAAAAACCTTTTCAAGTATGAGCTGAGAGGAGCTCCCAATCGCAGCATTTCAAGATTAAGTGTCCCAGCATCTTCCTTCCGAAACATTGCCTTCTCATGGTTTGATCAGCAAGAACAAAAAGTTACATGCAGATAGCAAGGGACTAATACCATGATATCACCAAACACACTTTGGTCCTTGTCAGCATCAATCAGCTCTGCAGTGTAACACTTGCACCTTCCTCTTTTTTGGAGGTAAAGAGGCAATTAGGTCACTGCTGCTGGACTGGAGCACAGCTGAAGGAACTGATTTGCTGGGGTTATGCATTGAGTCTGTGGCAAAGCAATGAAATTAACCTAAGACCCTCAGGCATAGTCCCTGGCCTCTGAACTATTTGTTCATCCACTTAGGGATTAAAAGGGGAGAGAGATCTATAGTCTCAAGAGAAGAGCGGAACCCAGTTCATGAAGGATTTTGTTGTGGTGTTTGTTACTGGATTGTTTATCCACACTGCAGCATACATCTCAATCTGTCATGTCTTCAGTCTTTGTTCAAGTTCTCCATTTGGTTTGTTTCCACCTGTTTGTTTCCCCATTAGTACCTATTGCCCTGAGTTCTGCCTTCCAAGCTACATGCTGTTTTCTTCAATTTCCTCTCTTTTCTCTCAGCATTCCCATCACATCTCTGTATGGTGTCTCGCTGTTGCAGAAGTGCAGAAACTATGTGCCCACTGCTGGTGTGCAGAATGTACAACTGGGTGCCTACTGCTGCTGTATAAAATACACAAAGGGTAAGATCAACACAGCTCTCCTTTGCATCTTGGGTTTCTGAGTAAGGGATAAGTAAGGACTGTAGCTATCTCATCCTCCCACAGGTAGCTGCTTGGTACTTGTGTATCTGGGCTTAAAGTCCTGGGAGAATCTCAGCCACTGTAGAATTTGCTTTACAATTCAATGTGAGAAATGTGAGCACCCTGGTTCAGTGCTCTGTCTGTAAGCAGAATGACTACTTCAAAGCCATAGGGCATAAAGCTCAAGCCTTAATTGTTTCCAGGTTGTAATGAATATGAATATCACAGCAAGCTAGCAGGTCCTCTTTGGAGAGCATAAGTGAAGAGCCAGCCTTGAAAGATAGTCCCTGAATGTGCTACTGAGGACCTTATAAGTTAGCAAAAGCACTTTAAGATCAATATAAAATGTCAATCATAAAAATAGGTTTGTGCCTTCACTTGTGCCTGATGTGAAAATTGGAATGAAACCATTGAATTAATTGTTATTAAAGACTTAGAAGAAGCCTTGGTCCCAGGCCTCTCCAGTCAGACTAGTACAATAAGCACTCAGTTGCGCACACAGTTTGTCTTCCTTCCCTGTTTCAACTTCCAAGCTTCACCCGATCTTTGAGTGCTCATTTCCTCATCTCTAACCTTAAAGAACTTGCACCAATTCTATATGGGCTTCTGAAGGTCCTCACAGCCCTATCAATCATGGAGAGCTGTTCCAAAGCATCATCCCAGTTCCTTTTACTTTGTGTCTTTTTATACTTACTTCCCCATTAGTCTACTGACCACATTAAGAAGCAGGCTCTGCTGACAGCACCCCTTACAGCAGTCCACAAAATGAAACCTCCTATTTCCCACAAGGATCCTAATACATTTACTTTAAAATTTCAAGGGGAAGCTGAATCCTATTATTGATATGCCACTGATTTATACAAGGAAGGCTCAACACCCAGATATAATTTATCTTGGCCTAGTGTTTAGAAAATGAAGCATTCAATACTGCATCCTTTGACAAATGTGTATAGGCACTGGATCCCAGAGGTAGCTCTAACAAATGGCTTTATTTTTGCATCTTTCTGGAAACGCCTAAAACCAGTAGCTTCATAGAATTGTTTTTGTCAGTGTGCACAAAGTAGTCTCAGCTTTTGGAGAGAAGAATTTTAAAAAGCCACTAACCCTCAAGCTCAACAGCTGCAGAGCTCGTTTATTTTAAAGCAAAATAATTAAAAGAAAAAACACTAACCACAAAGACTTCACCTGTAGAGTCGAGCAGCCTGACTGAATTTGTTCCTGGAAATCTTACAGCAGTAGGAAGAGAAATGCACATTAAAGCTAGGGTTTCCCTTCTAAATGAATGTCCTACCAAGAAGCAGGAGTCTATTTGCTTTGGATGCAGTCATGTGTCTAATCTTACCATAAATACTGTATGACTGTGTTAGACTTATTTAATGGCAACTCAATAAATAAAGTTTTTAAAGTGCCTTGACTTACAGTATCAGCTCTGCTGCTGTGTGGAGTCAAAATGCTTGCTGGAGCTGATGGTGCAGGGCAAAGTCCCCGAGCTGTGTCCCTGCCTAAAAGATGTGCTATTAACAGCTGCAGCTTGGATCCTGCCTTCCCTAAGTGGCTCGTGTTGAGCAGGGAGATGGAGACTAGCACAAATTTTCATGTAGCAGGGGGCGACTTGTGAGTTGTTTATGGAATGCAGAGAGAAGCACTGGGATTGCCAGCAGGAGGCTGACATTTACTGCTGGAAGTGCTCTGTGTTACCATGGCACTCAGGGTGCTTGGGGCACCGCAGCAGCTGTGTGCACACGTTTGTCATGGGGCTGTGGCACCTGAGCATTAAAGGCTACTTGTTCTTAGCCCAACAGCCAGGTTGCTCACCCATACTCCATGGCACCTGAAGGATGGCTTCACCCTTCCCTTGCTTCCCCACGGGATTGTCCAGCAGGTAGCTAGAACCACCAGTGGACACCACGCAGAAGTGGTTACAGCCATGGCAAAACACTGCCCTCAGAGAACCAGCCTTGCCTGTGTCCTTTCCCCAGCTACCCCTGACCTGTGAGTGATGAACACTCTTAGTTTTCCCAGAGACATTACGTCCCGTACAAACCTGCCTGCTGGCAGTGAGTGAACAGGGCTCAAATGGTGTAAAAATCCATCACGTTAT